TTGTTCGCTCGCTTCACGTGATATAATCTTTATCCAATAAGATATGAGATATTTATAATCCAATAAAATGTTATGACAAAAGGTCATTATACAACAGTACAAAATTCTTCATGCAGTTCAAATTGTATCATATGTTAGAGATCATGAAGTGCATGTTCAAAAAAAAAGAATGTTAGTTGCAGAATCTCGGTCAAGACTTAACCTGCATCCGAACATTTGAAATCTTGCAGTTATCGACAATATCGATATGAAAGATAATACTTTTCAATATGACAACATTTTTGATGCAACTCGTAGTACTGCACATGCGACATTGCAGATGATCTTTCAATTTTAATGTTCAGCACTTGTCAATGTAAATGAAGAATCATTGAAAAATTCAAATCTATTTGACAGAAGTTCTATTATGAAAAAATAGCAAAAAAAAATTAATACTGTCTTTGACCAATTAATTAATAAAGGGTAAAAATTTGGTGTTGAACACCTTGATGCAATTATTAAAAAACATATTGACTCAGTATTGTTTGTAACGTCTCCAAATGTTGTGATTCTTGAGTCTGGAGAAGCTCCAAGCAAAAATAAATACGTTTATCAGACCGTTAACATGTTTCTTGAAGACTTTGATTATATGGAGAATAACATATTATATTTGGTGTGTGATGAAGCAATTTATCATCACATGAAAGATTACAAGAATGAAGAGCAAATGGTGTATTGCATTCTAGGACAATGACATACTAACAAGTCAATGTGCAGTGCACTAATTGCGATTACGAACTTTTTGGACTTGTCGCACAGCTTGGTGTTTGATTTCTCAACAGACTTGAACAAGTTACTGATTATTGAGCAACATTTCAAGAACTTGAGCTCATTTGTGTAACAATTAGAGTTGCAATCTATCTATATATTCAGGAAGAGAATATTTCTATTAGTGATATCCTCACTAAAGATGGTGTGACAACTGTTGCAACGTGGTGACAAATAAAGCATTACCTAGTTACAACTAGTTGTGGCTTATAAAATTTTGGAATTGCAACGTGTTGCAACAGGTGACAAATAAGTATCACATACTTGCTGCATCATCTCTAATCCTCACAACAAATAACAATCTGCTTAAAGTATGATATAACTTTTATCAATGGGCAGAATACTTGAAATTGTACAAGCTTGGTATTCGCATGACAAATTTTGATCTACAAATATATAGCTTGATGGCATTTGCTCCTTTATTTCCTATAATAGGAAAAAGAAGATATGCTGCATCTGTGACATGATTTTTGTCAAATCTTCAAAGCAAGCCAGGATTTCTTCAAGCTCTTCAGGTGGTGCCTTCAATCAATTTGACACATGAGGAGCATTATTTTGCTTTTGATGAGACTCTGAAAACATTCAGAGTGAAGTTTATAAAGGAAAATATGACCAGACAGATGACTAATTCAGAGAATCTAAAACAGAATATCAAAGTGACACAAGCAGAGTATGACTGACTTAACTTGTTGATTTCAGAATTTGCTGAAAATCGGTCAGTAAGCAGAAGTTCACAGTCTGTTAAGGATCATCAAGAAGCTCTTTGGAAATTAATTACTGAACTCAAAGTAGAATTTAGCAGCTCACAGCCAGAATCACATCTCTTATTTGCAGAAGTTACGCAATTGATAGATGTTGGTTTTCAACAAATGTTTACTTGCTATGAATCAGGAATCAAAAGAATAATCACCATTGTTGAGCAAAATATTTATCATACTGTTCCCCAAGTGAAAGCAGGATGAGGTAGACGAAATCTGACGTTTATGAAGTCAACAAAGAAAAAGAAGACTGATCGCATATTGTTGTATAATGACCTTTCATCATAATATTTTATTATTAAATTATAAATATCTCATATATTATTGGATAAAGATCAAATCACGTGAAGCGAGCAAACAAGCGAGCAAATAAGCGAACAAGCAAATGAACGAATAACTAAACGAACGAGTGAATGAACAAGCGAATGAATATTGAACTAATAGAATTTAAGTGATATAGCAAACATGAATTCGTATAGTCTAGAAATTATATCTTAGATTTATATAAAAGCAACATGTATTGTAGTTGTTAGAATTAGATATGAACAAGTCCTTTTAGATAGTAATTTCTAATTATCACGTCTAATTAATTATCACGTAGTTTTGATCATTCAAAGAAAAGTAGTTTGCACTTTATGTAGAGTAGGTAGTCAAGCACAAACTCCTC